CTTGAGCAACCTGCTCTGGTGGGAGGTGTCCCTGCCCAGGGCAGGGGTTGGGGCTGGATGATCTCTCAGGCCCATTCCAGCCCCTTAACATTCTATGATGACTCTGTGATATAACTGATGTTGTCCTTCAGCATTACCAGTACAGGATTTCAGCCCCAAACACTTCCCCATTTCCAAAGGAAAGGAGTAAGAGGAATTTCCCACCAAGGCTGGTAACTGTGGGGCTGTTCATTGGATTGCACCACTCATTATTGCATGTGAAATCTTCCAGCTGAGCTCACATCTGGCACATCTGCACTATTTCCAGCTACTGAGCGCTCTGGGTTCAGAGCCATGATCCTAAATGCTATTCCCTACATGGGTGTTCTCTTGGAAGATAACTGTGTCCCTTTGCCCCGTGCAGATATGGCTACAATGACTGCCGGAGCGACCAACATCGACATCAAGCAGCGCAGCCACCGAGGGGTTCGGCACGACGGGAACTACCTGGCCCTGAGGACCCTCGAGGGCAAGTACCTGCTGAATGGAGACTTTGCCATCTCAGCCATGGAGCAGGACATCCTCATTAAGGGAACCATCCTGAAGTACAGTGGCTCCATGACAACCCTGGAGAGGCTGCAGAGCTTCCGGCAGCTCCCGGAGCCCCTGACCGTGCAGCTGTTGACCATCGCCAGCGAGGTCTTCCCACCAAAAGTCAAGTACACCTTCTTCATCCCCAAGGATGTCCCTTTCAGCAAGCAGAAAGGCAAAGAGAAGAAGTCAGCCAATGTCATCCGCCCCATGCTGACCTCCCACTGGGTCCTGGGCGACTGGTCCGAGTGCTCCAAGACGTGCGGCTCCGGCTGGCAGAGACGGACGGTGGAGTGCCGGGACGTGGAGGGTCAAACCTCCTCTGCCTGCGACAAAGCCCTCAAGCCTGAGGACATCAAGCCTTGTGGAGATGTCCCCTGCCCTCTCTGGCGCCTGGGCCCGTGGTCCCCCTGCTCCCAAACGTGCGGCGAGGGCGTGCGGACGCGCAACGCCTCCTGCATCGATTACGCCGGAAAAATCACCTCCCCGGAGAAGTGCAGCTACCCAGGGCCACCACCAGCCACTGCCACCTGCATCCTGCAGCAGTGCTGAGCCATGCCAGGATGCTCAGAGCTGAGGATGCCATGGGCTTCCACCACGCCAGGGCAGGACAGCGAGGATGCCGTGGGCTCGCTCGCCAACACATAACCACTCTCCAGCGGTTCGTCCCCACCCCATCGATGTCTACCTCAGAGGGGGAAATAACGGCAGCAAAACGGGGAGGAATCACTTCTTTTCCTTTCTTTCTTCCTTTCTTTCTGGCTGGCTGCTCACAGGCAAGTTGTCATTTAAAGGGAAAAACAAGTGTAGGGTGTTTTCTGAAGAGCTGTTGTTGAACATGATTGCAGATTCCTTTTGGAAATTCCACTGGGGTTTGGCGCTGGAAAACATGTGGAGCCTGGCTGTGCTGTTGTCCCGTCCCAGCTGCAGGTTGAGGAGGTCCAGGGTGGGTGGATGTGCTGATAAAATTGGGATCCCTTTGGAAAAGGCATGGAATGGGTTGCAGTCCCCTCCCTGCAGCAGCGTGGGTTTCCTTGAGCATGAGGAGTGTTTTATCAGCTGTGGGTTTAGCTTGGGAGATAAATTCCTCATTTGGGTGGGAGTGGGAATAAGCAGAGGGCCAGATCCTGGCAGGAATTAGACAGAAGGACAGGTGAGAGAGGTGGTCCTGGTGGTTTCTGTTGGCTTTATAACCTACAAAGCAACAAACCTCTGTCTCCAAACCCCCCAGCACCTGCAGAGTTACTCCTAGAGCCACAACCCCATACCTCCATTTCCCCAGCTATAAAACTAAGGCTTAATTACACCTGATGTGGCTTACAGGGCTGCTGTGAGGATTAATTAATTCCTAACTCTGCAGTGCTCTGACTGTGAAGTGCCTGTTGCGATACCCTGTCCCCCTCTGGAGCAGCACTCGGGTGTGCCAGCGTTTCCCTCCCCACCCTTGGCCCTTAGTCCCCTGCAGGCTCATTTTTCCAGCTTTTGGAGATCATTTATCAACCTGGCTTGCAGCAGGGATGAGTCCAGGGTCTGTAGGTGATGCCACAGGTGACCAGTGCCACTCTTCACCCCTGCCTTCCTAGGTGCTCAGATCTGGCACCAGCTCCAGCCTTGCTTGAGCAATTCTCAGTCTAAAGCTGAGCCTGGCAAGGCTGGAGCTCTTCCTTCCCAGCAGGAAGCAGCCAGACCCCTCTCCCAGCCCGGATGCTGCCTGGCTCCAGCACAGATGGCTGCTCAGTCCCTGAACTTTCCCCTTTCCACAGCGATCCCAGCCGTGTGCTGGCAGCAGCCACTGCCTGGGGAGCAGGGGTGGAATTTGGGTTTGCTATCTCTGGATGAGGGATTTGGTAACTCCAGGCTCCTCTCTTGTACCCTGCCTTGGCTTCATTTCTGGCAGCAACATGTTGAATTTCCAGTGGGAACAGCCTTTTTCTCATAGGAAGGGGAGGAGGGCTGGAATTTCTATGTCTGAGCTTCTCCATTCATAATTATGGAATGAATCCTTTTCCTTGTCCCTAAGCTCGTGTGAGACCCTTTCCTTGCTGTCCAGGCAGGTTTGGGATGGGATGGTGGGATGAGATGCTCTCCTGAAGCTGTACCAGAAACCATTACCTGAAAACATGAAATATTCCTGGTTTTATCTCCCATAGATGATTCCTATCAAAACCAAGGTAGCTACAGCCCAGGATTGAGGGTACTGAGGGCTTGGCTCCTTATTTTTTTAGAGAAGGAGAAAAAAAAAATCAAGGCCAGCTGCAGAGTTTGGATGCAGAGCTGTTTGGGCTGTGGTTCAGACCTACCTTGGGGCAATGTTCTGCGTCTGCTAATTAATCTCCAGGAATTTAAGCCCTAACAAATAGCTGGATGCTAAAGTCATGTAGCCTTGCAGGGTTATTTTCTTCTTCCCCCCTTTGAGTCTGTGAGGGCTTTAACTCAAAGCCAGCATGTGTTTTCTCTCCAGTGTCATAACCAGCAGTTAGGATGGGTCAGGACTATCAGCCTGAGCCAGTGCCAAGGAAAACGTCTGTATTTATCACACAGGAGTTGTGCACACCAAGGGGCTCTTCCAGTTACTCTATATTCACTGTGCTATTGCTTAGCTGGAGCTTCCTAGATGTAAAAACTCCCTGTGGTGGGCAAATTTTCCAGTGAGGAGGAGGATGGGGGGAGTGCAGGCAGTGCTGCTTGGTTGAGGTGTGGGGTCTGGGTGATGCTAAGTGGGATTCCTGCCCTAGGCTTCCCGTAGAAACACGTAGCCTTTACGCTGATTTAAGTCAAAGAGGTTATATATTAGGATATATATATGTGTATATATGTTTCCCTTCAGTGAAGGATTGTAGCAATGTACTGAGCCTCTTGTGTTAGGTATTTATTATAAATTTCTCTCTGGTTTTGTACAGTAGCTGTCTGGAAAGGAGAAAAAAAACCAACAAAAAACCAAAGGAAAATAAAGATAAAAAAGACAAAGACTGTGTTTTAACATGCTGCTCCCACATCCCCTCTCCAAGCCCAGCAGTGGGGTGGGAGAGTGGATGTCTTGGCTCATAGGTTAACCACTCTGGTATCTGACTGGTGTTTCCCTCCTCCCTGTTGCACCCAAATCAGGGTGTGATTGCCAACTGAGCTGTGTAAGCATAACAAATCCAACCAAAATTAAGCTTTGGACTTTCATTTTAAGGGGAAGGGAAAGAAATGTAATTTTCTGGTTTTTAGCCTCTTGTTTGTATTTGGTTTTAACTTTGAAGACAGTCTGTTTGTGGCTCTGCCTTTACCCCTTCAATAAAGGATTTCCTGCCTTTTACCTCCTGGCATTTGTCTCTATTTGCACTTTTCCCAGGATGTATTATTTTCACTTCCATCCCAAGAGCAATATCTTAAATCTCCCTTTTCCATGGCTTATTCAGCCTTAAGTAAATGCTTCATTCAGTTTGAAGGTGCTGAACCAAAACATTACCCAAGAGAGCAGACAAAACTCATGGAGCAAGAATTGTTCCACAGGTATTTTGAATCATCTCCTCTGTTTTGTGGAATGCTTAGGAGCATCTACCTCCTCTCTGTACACAGACAACATCTCTCTAGAGACATATTATATACATATATTATCACAGAACTCTATGATCCTGTGATAATATCTATATATGTATCATATATACACATAAGGTAGACATAGTATGTCTATAAATACATTAGTATATCTATATATACACATAGATACCGATATATACATGTAGATAATGTATCTATTTATGCATATAGATCATTCTGATGCTTTCTAGGAGGGCATATTACCTACCTGGACTTACACAAGGCATTTGA